ACAAGGTATACAAGTATATGTACAAGGTATACAAGTGCATGTACAAGATATACAAGTACATGTACAAGGTATACAAGTATATGTACAAGGTATACAAGTACATGTACAAGGTATACAAGTGCATGTACAAGATATACAAGTACATGTACAAGGTATACAAGTTAAATGTACAAGGTATACAAGTACATGTACAAGGTATACAAGTGCATGTACAAGATATACAAGTACATGTACAAGGTATACAAGTATATGTACAAGGTATACAAGTACATGTACAAGGTATACAAGTACATGTACAAAGTATACAAGTATATGTACAAGGTATACAAGTACATGTACAAGGTATACAAGTACATGTACAAGGTATACAAGTACATGTACAAGGTATACAAGTACATGTACAAGGTATACAAGTATATGTACAAGGTATACAAGTACATGTACAAGGTATACAAGTATATGTACAAGGTATACAAGTATATGTACAAGGTATATACAAGTACATGTACAAGGTATACAAGTATATGTACAAGGTATACAATGCATGTACAAGGTATACAAGTACATGTACAAGGTATACAAGTATATGTACAAGGAATACAAGTATATGTACAAGGTATACAAGTACATGTACAAGGTATACAAGTATATGTACAAGGTATACAAGTGCATGTACAAGGTATACAAGTACATGTACAAGGTATACAAGTATATGTACAAGGTATACAAGTGCATGTACAAGGTATACAAGTGCATGTACAAGGTATACAAGTATATGTACAAGGTATACAAGTGCATGTACAAGGTATACAAGTGCATGTACAAGGTATACAAGTACATGTACAAGGTATACAAGTATATGTACAAGGTATACAAGTACATGTACAAGGTATACAAGTGCATGTACAAGATATACAAGTACATGTACAAGGTATACAAGTATATGTACAAGGTATACAAGTACATGTACAAGGTATACAAGTGCATGTACAAGATATACAAGTAACATGTAACAAGGTATACAAGTATATGTACAAGGTATACAAGTACATGTACAAGGTATACAAGTGCATGTACAAGATATACAAGTACATGTACAAGGTATACAAGTATATGTACAAGGTATACAAGTACATGTACAAGGTATACAAGTGCATGTACAAGGTATACAAGTACATGTACAAGGTATACAATACATGTACAAGGTATACAAGTACATGTACAACGTATACAAGTACATGTACAAGGTATGCAAGTACATGTACAAGGTATACAAGTACATGTACAAGGTATACAAGTACATGTACAACGTATACAAGTACATGTACAAGGTATAAAAGTACATGTACAAGGTATACAAGTACATATACAAGGTATACAAGTACATGTACAAGGTATACAAGTACATGTACAACGTATACAAGTACATGTACAAGGTATAAAAGTACATGTACAAGGTATACAAGTACATATACAAGGTATACAATACATGTACAAGGTATACAAGTACATGTACAAGGTATACAAGTACATGTACAACGTATACAAGTACATGTACAAGGTATACAAGTACATGTACAAGGTATACAAGTACATGTACAAGGTATACAAGTACATATACAAGGTATACAATACATGTACCAGGTATACAAGTACAAGGTATACAGACCATAGCTGACATCAGTGACATACTACTATATAGAAAGTCACTTGTTATGTTGAGCATTTTCTGCAAATTACGTCACTTTTGTTCCCAGGATGCGACCCACACCAGTCCACTAACACCCAGGTACCCATTTTACCGTTGGGTGAACAAAGACAACAGGTGTAAAGAAACACGTCCAATGTTTCCAACCTTTCCGGGAATCGAACCCGGACCCTCAGCGTGCAAAGCGAGAGCTTTTGCCTCCAGGCCACGGGACATCATGGATATACGTCGAAAGGCATGTATCTGAGTGTGTACATATACAAATATGTATTGTATAGTGCACATATACCTGCAGTAGGTATTTATACCTGGAGAGTCTCGCGGTGAATCAGGGATTGATTAACCAGGCTGTTACTGCCAGTCATGCATAATTCAATGTACGAACAACAGCCTGGCTGGTCAGGTACTGATTTAAAGTGTCTGTCCAGTACCCTCTTGAAGACAGCCAGGGGTCTATTGGTAGTCCCCTTTATGTATGCCGGGAGGCAGTTCAACAGTCTTGGGCCCCTGACACTGACTGTGTTGTCTTAGTACACTCATGGTGCCCCTGCTTTTCACTGGGAGGATGTTGCACCGCCTGCCCAATCTTTTGTTTTCTTAAGGAGTGATTTCCGTGTGAAAATTTGGGAGTCCTAGGGTTTTCCATGTGCATATTACGATGTACAGTATCTTTCTCGCCTGCGTTCTAGGGAGTACAGATCAAGGGACTTCAACCTTTCCCAGTAATTGGGATACTTAATTGTACTTACATATGCGTTGAAAGTTCTACATATTCTTCAGGTCTGCAGTTTTGCTTGCCTTGAAAAGGGCCGTTAGTGGATGCAGTAGATACATTGTGATCTTTGAAAGTGAGAATACCTGACATTATCACTCCAAGATACTTCACATAAGTTTTTCGCTCTATTGTGTGTTTCTAATTTGTTTTATACTCAGATCAAGCTTTTATTTCCTCGAGTTTTCCATAGCGGAATAATTTAAATTTGTCTTCATTGAACTTCATTTTGTTTTCTGAGGCCCATTTAAAAATTTGGTTAACGTCTGCTTGGAGATTTGCAGCGTTCTCACTGGATGACACTGCCATGCAGATTCTAGTGTCCTCTGCGGATGACACCCGGATCACCATGGTAGTGACCTCCATCGAAGACACTGCGAGACTCCAAGCGGACATCAACCAAACCTTCAAATGGGCCACTCAAAACAATATTAAGTTCAACGAGGAGAAATTTCAACTACTCAGATATGGAAAACTTGAAGAAATTAAAACTGTTTCAGGGTATACTTGGAGTTTACCTGGAGAAGGTTTCGGGGGTCAACGCCCCTGCGGCCCGGTCTGAGACCAGGCCTCATGGTGGATCAGGGTCTGATCAACCAGGCTGTTACTGCTGGCCACACGCAAACTTACGTACGAACCACAGCCCGGTTGGTCAGGTACTTTAGGTGCCTGTCCAGTGCCTTCTTGAATGCAACTAGGAGACTATTGGTAATCCCCCTTATGTATGCTGGGAGGCAATTGAACAGTCTTGGGCCCTGGACACTTTTAATTTTCTTCTTTTACATACCCTACCAAATTCATGCACCAACCTCTGCAACTTCTCTTCAGAATCACCCAAGAGCACAGTGTCATCAACAAAGAGCAACTGTGATAACTCCCACTTTATGTGTGATTCTTTATCTTTTAACTCCACACCTCTTGCCAAGACCCTCACATTTACTTCTCTTACAACCCCATCTATAAATATATTAAACAACCACGGTGACATCACACATCCTTGTCTAAGGCCTACTTTTACTGAGAAATAATCTCCCTCTCTCCTACATACTTGAGCCTCACTATCCTCGTAAAAACTCTTCACTGCTTTCAGTAACCTACCTCCTATACCATACACCTGCAACATCTGCCACATTGCCCCCCTGTCCACCCTGTCATACGCCTTTTCCAAATCCATAAATACCACAAAAACCTCTTTAGCCTTATCTAAATACTGTTCACTTATATGTTTCACTGTAAACACTTGGTCTACACACCCCCTACCTTTCCTAAAGCCTCCTTGTTCATCTGTTATCCTACTGTCTTTCTCTTAATACTTTCAATAATAACTCTACCATACACTTTACCAGGTATACTCAGCAGACTTATTCCCCTATAATTTTTACACTCTCTTTTGTCCCTTTTGCCTTTATACAGAGGACCTATGCATGCTCTCTGCCAATCCCTAGGTACCTTACCCTCTTCCATACATGTATTAAATAATAGCACCAACCACTCCAAAACTATATCCCCTCCTGCTTTTAGCATTTCTATCTATCCCATCAATCCCAGCTGACTTACCCCCTTTAACCGTCAAATCCATTTGTTCCCTAGACTTCCTCAACTTATTAATCTCACTCCAATACTTTTTTTTTATTTTCAACAATATTTGTTGATAATATCTCACCCACTCTCTTATTTGCTCTCTTCTTACATTGCTTCACCACTCTCTTAACTGGCAGTTTACTTACTAGTGCTGATGCAACAGAAGTGTATGAATTAAAACAGCAACTTTAGTTGTCTCGTGATATACCTGGTTATCAGTATTTATCTCTAGGTCGATCACTTCCCTCTTATCAACCACCACACCATTTACTATGGTATCATCCTCTGTACACTATAGCATCACTGTTATACACTGTGACCACTTGGTTTTACACTGTTTTACGCTCACAGTAACTGATACCATGTATGTACTTTGCACATGGTGGGTGTATGGCACCAGTTCATGTGGTCACTGTACACTTGTTCCTATTCTGATTCAGCGGTCACTATTATTTACTAGATCAGTTCAGAACACTGTAGAGATTTACTTCCAGAGGTTCACTGGCACAGTTCTGTCCTTCTGGCACAAAGATGTCCTGTGATAATCTATGAAAACTATAGAACCACTTCGTTCTAAAAAGCAAGAACAGGTGTTAATAATAATAATAATCTTTATTTCTGTAAGTACATGATACAACATATACAGACCATAGCTGACATAATATATAGACACCCGCTTGTTATGCACAGCATTTCGGGCAACTTAAGTTAATTTTGTCCCCAGGATGCAACCCACACCAGTCGACTAACACCCAGGTAGCTATTTACTTGAAGGCGAACATAGACAGCAGGTGTCAGAAACACGCCCTAATGTTTCCAGCCTTCCAGTAGTTTATCTAGCTTGAGGTGCCAGTGCGTTACTTTTAGTTGCCAGTTTCGCTACTTCTCGTGTCTGGGAACTGTTAACTGTGGACTCTGGCCTCAGTTCAAGTCTGGTCG